TCTTTTGACAGTGAAAGGGTGGGACCGAGATGCCAAACTAGTAGCACGCTTAAATTCATATATATTAAAATGTTATAATCCAACTTAGACAATTAAATAGTAAAAATGCTTACGTCCATGTCACATTGAAACACCGGTTCTTGTAAGATCACCGAAGTTAAGCAACGTCATTACCTAGATGAGTAACCTCTTGGGAATATCGGGTGCTGTAAGCTTGGATAAGTGAGTGCTGTAATTGATAACGGTTTGTTATCTTCATTTATATGTAGATACACGTTTCCCACCCTCACAAAACTAGCTGCAGATTAATTACTAGAACGTGTATCTGGAAAAATCGCTAATATTTCTCCAAGGCTTTTATAGTCTGAAAATATTTTCTGGTTTCAAATAATCCGCAAAAGGTTGATTAGCCGTAAGAAACAATTGATTTGCAGAGATGCATGAAATGTCCGTTGGGTGAATTAAAAAAAATGGACAGATTGCTAAATCTGTTTCAGGTCCAACACGAACTTATGGCGATAGGGATTTATCACTATATATATATATATATATATATATATACCCCCCACACATATATGTGTGTGTGTGTGTGTGTGTGTGTGTAGTTTAATCATTTCATCCCACGCAAAGCAATAAAGCCACTAAGACGCAGAGTGTTAGAGAATGAGAAAAAATACACTATTAAGGAGGAAGACAAGTAAAAGAACGAGAATTATGAAGACAGAAGATGACGATTGACATTGCATTTAAATTTCTGAAGATTCAAGTTGAATGGAAAGCAAGAAGCCGGAAGAGATTTCCGCAAGCGAGAAGTGCGATATAAGAAACTATTAGCATACAACTTACGGTTACATATAGCCGTTTCAACTATATGTCTGTATAAGTTCAAAACATATATATATATATATATATATATATATATATATATATATATATATATATACGTATATTTATATATATATTTATATATAGTGAATAATAATAATAATAATAATAATAAAGAGAATATCTCAGATCTACGCATCAGAATTTTGTGTGTTATGTGAATTCAATTCATATCAAGATTATTATTCAATTCATTTTAGCCTCAATGGAAATGTAAGAAGGAAAAACAGCACCAACCCCGGTAATAATAACTACAACAAAGTCAGTTTCAACAATCACCGCATTTCCTTGTTTTACTTAATAAGAAAATGACTAAGTCACAATTCAAAACGTCGCTACCAAAAACGTCGATTCCAAATTGTAGTCATGACAAACGTCACCGTTGAACATTAAGGGAAAAAAAAAAAAAAAAAAAAAAAAAAACTTCAAACAAGTTACGAAAAAAAATTAAAACTGAAATTTACCAAGCAGACATAATAACTCTAGGACTTTGGGAATAGTTCCAAAAGCAACAAGAAGAACTTGAAAGAAAGAATCGAAATCTGAGTAGAACTTGACAAAGATTGGTGTGCCAAATTAGGACCCAACTTGCTCCACTCGCAATCGTCTGACAGGCGTGCTTGCTCAGTAACGTTTTAACTCGAGACATTAATTACAAATAGGGATCTTATTTAAAAAGTAATCAAATCACCAGAAAAAAAAAAACAAAACTTGTAGGATCGATCTCATATATACACACATAGATTTTAAAAGGATGATATTATTGACAGTTAGGGATATAAATGTCGGATAGCTTCTTTTTCTTTTTAAAAGACAGATGCGCAAAACTTCAATATACGAATATTGTTTTTTTTTCTTCTTTTCAGTGAATCTATTCACTTTGCACGGTATGCAAATAAAACGTTGCGAGATCAGCGAAAAGTTAATTATCGGCAAAAACTAAAAAATATGTAAGTAAAAAAAATATTGGTCATCATCTTTTAAAAGAATTGTAACTTTAAATGTTGCGATGTCATTGAAAACGTCAGAAAAGAACCAATGAGGATGGTCACACTACGGATCGTAGTAGCAATAATGTATCGATTTATTTTATCGACATTTAACATATTTTTGTTTTAGGAAATTGTCACGCTGTTTCTACATAAAACTAATGATAAGTTTCTCATGGTTATTTTCTCCCTTTTGTTTCAGGAAATAACTTTTTAGTTTTATAAAATAAAAAAAAGTAGTTTGCGGAGAAAAACGGGAAAACTGGGCAGTTTTATATTGAACTAGTAACACGAAAAATTCAATGGGTACTTGTTTATTTTTGTATGCATCAACAAAGTACATTCAGATAAAGATAAAATGTCACTTTATAACGAAGGCGAGTTTGTTTTGTGTAATTTTTGCTTTGACAGCAAAAGCACACATCGTAACTATGATGTTTACCGGGTTTGAAAAATGTCCGTCGCCAACCTCGAAAATAATGAAATAATTAGGTGTGTAGATTTTTACACGCGTATTAAGGGCCGCTCCTAACCACTGAAAACAACCTGGTTTCCGGTCCGCCGCGATAAGTGTGTGTGTATGAAAGGGGGGGCAAAAATGAATATTAGCTCAAGCCCAAGAGGAGCTTCTCCTAAGGCAATACCTCTCCTTCGGGAGGGCGCTGGAGTTAGTAACCGACGCTTGAGGAGTCCCTAAAAGAGGAAGTACCGAGCAGTATTGAGCAATTTTTGCACGAATTTCTGAAATCTCACATTAAACCTCGTCCTCGTAACACGTTCTGTTGTGTTGTGACGTGGGCGTGCGGATAAATACCCCAGACATTAATCGGCGCCTGAGATATCTCCCAAAAGGGGAAGTGCCGAGGGAGATGGACAATATTTGTACGGCGATATCCTACCTTAATATTTGTCGGGTTCTGTACGAGTTTTTAAATGCTTGCAGTTAAAAATGCCTCCGGGAACGGTTCTGGTTTGAAAGGAAATATGTATTTTCAACAACAAATACTGTCTGTAATGTAATGACGGAACTTTTTAAAGTGTACGATAATTTCTTTTTATGTAGAAAAAAGAAATTTATTTAGAACAGAATTCAACAAGAGTAAATAAAAATACAGAGAAAATCAGGCAGAATATTCGCCTTTAACCCACTTGGCTAAATGTAAATAGAACCCCCGCCACACACACACAAAAAAAAGAAAAATAAAGAAAACACCTGCATTATGTAATAAGGCATTTTTTTCTCTAGAGTTATTTATCGATATAGGTAACGTTTTTCCGATACAAATAAATGTTAATGACAACAGGTGAATAAGAAATCTATATATATGTTTTGTTAACAAAATCGAAAGGCGAATTTAACTTTTATTCGCAGTGCATGTAAGCGAGTATGCCTGTTTCATTATTCGATTTATTTATCTCAATCAAAAGGTTGAGTTATACAGTAGGCGCAGCGGCCAGAAATGTCAGTAATGTTTTTCATATCACTAAATAAAAATAAAATAAAAAATTTTATAAGTTGATAGAGGGAATCCAGTTTGCTATGTAAATTCAGTGAAAATTACCTCCCCGCCGTCTACCTACGGAAGCCAGAACAAATGTAACCATACAATTTGATTTCTTAAAATGTAAATAAATAAAAAAAAAATGAATCTAGTAATACGGACTTTTTTTTTTCATATATTACTATCGAATATGAAAAATAAAATTACAAAATAAATGAATAAATACATTTTTTTCATTTTCAGAAATTATGTCGTATGAGTATTTTTATTTTTGGCTTCCGTAATCTGAAGCGCTTAATATGAAAAAAAAAAGAAAAAAAAAAGAGATTATTTCTGATTACAACGACCAATGACCAACATCATACAATCAAATTAAAGAAAAATAAAAGCTGGATTTTAATAAAAATTTTAATAAGTTTGATACTTTAAAAAAAAAACTTAAAATTAGTAACTTAGAAAATAATATGATTCGGTTAAAATAATAATAAAATAGTCCAAAATAAATATTTTAAGATTAAATCTGCCGAAATAATAGAGATGAATTTTCTAAGAATTAATAATTATATTGGAATAATTTTAATGGACATCTACTACTTCCTGAATAAATTAATACACGTGCACTTAAAAAAAAGAGAAAGACGGATCTATATAATTCTGTAACACACACACACACACACACACATATATATATATATATATATATATATATATATATATATATATTATCTTATAATATTTTTTTTTTAAATATTCTAATATAAGCTCTACTTCTGTATGGAGCACTGTCTTCTTAAAAATAAAAACAAAAATACTAAGGAACTCCGGATTATTTACCTAACGTATTCTTTCCTAATTTTCTGCATACTTGCGCGCGCACACACACATACACACATACATACATACATACATATACATATATATATATATATTATAAATAAATCCATATAAATCTGTAATATATATATAAATATATATATATATATAATAAATAAATTCATATAAATCTGTAATATGTATATTTAAATATATATATATATATATATATATATATATATAAAATCCATATAAATCTGTAATATATATAAATATAAATATTATAAATAAATACATGTAAATCTGTAATATATATATATTATAAATAAATCTATATTAATCTGTAATATATATATATATATATATTATAAATAAATCCATATAAATCTGTATATATATATATATATATATATATATATATATATATATATATATATATATATATATATTATACATAAATCCTTATAAATCTGTAATATATATATAAATCAACAACAAAATGATTCTAAATTATAGTCTTTCATAGATTTATTATTGTGTTTACACGCATTTACGTTCATAAGTATATTCCATATAATAAATGCTGAAACAAAAATATAACAAAAATATAAAAAATATAACTGGAACATTTGGGAATATTACATTGATACACAACATAAAACAATCTTCTAAAACGTCTACTCTCGGGTGATATCTACCCGTAGATTTATGATTCAAAGATGAATTTTTTTTTTCAGCAAATAAGAAAAAAATTAAAAAATGCATTTTTTTTTGTGATTTTTAAAAAAATTTTTTTTTTTAATTTTTTTTTTTACTTACCCACAATTTCGCATGTCATAAAGATGCAACACAATGCGGATACGGCTATAAGCTGGTTCCGTGCTAATTTGTCCACCTGAGTAGTGCTGGCCTGAGCAGGGTGGCAGTGTTCACCCATAGCGTGAGGAGATGACCAGGCCGGCAAAGAAGATGAGGTATTTGCACACCCAGCTCCAGAAGCAGACGACAATGATGTGAATGAGCACGTGGTCGTCGTTGGACCTCTTCTACCCACAGGGTTTGTCAACGGACCACCTTCTCCTACTCCACTTCTCAACCCACCTTCACCACCCTCATCAAAATCTTCCACATTTGAAGACGTGACAGCGCAAGAGGTCGGGTTAGTGGTTGGGTTAAAGAAAGACGTCGACAAAGAAGAAGATACCGGGTTTACAAGTGAAGAGGAGGCCGACCCGTTGTGCAAACTCTCGCGTGCATGATTGTGGGTGTTACCTGCGGCAGCAGCGATGCCAAAGTTAAGATTTGGTCCTTGGGACACGACTTGATTGTTTTTAACGAAGCATACATCGGCGGCAGCAAACACTTCCGTAGAAAAGAGACCTTGGGATTCGTCTAGACAGCAGTGGTGGAGATTGTGGGGGGTTTTGTGATGGCTAATAAGAGGCGGAGGAGAAGGATGGAAACAGTTGGTATGGGACCCGTCGCAGTCTTTCGGGTCGCCACCAACACAGTCACCTGTTGTGCAACTGTTTTTATAATTTCTACATTTATTGTTGCGTGAAAAGGCCGTGTCTGTTCTTGGATCGGAAATCCTTCCCCTTGTCTTGTTAATACTTTCGCACCCACTACCACGGGGTGTTATTTTATTTTTATTGTTAGTCCTTGCCTTGGAAGTGGCCTTTGTATGAAAGCGATGTGGGGTTATCACACGTGTGCAGGCTAAAATCGGGGCGGTGTCAGTTGCCTCCTCCTCCTCCTCTTCTTCTTCTTCGTCTTCCTCCTCCTCCTTTACTTCGTGTGATAGATGATTCTTTGCCGGCTCCGTAATACTTCGATTATCAATACATTCATCTGCAATCTCCTTTGTTAAATTATAACTTCTACGACTGCCAGCCTCTCTCTCGACGCCCGTACAGTTATTAAGTTCAGTCCAATGAGAAAGTGAACCACTGTTATCGACGACATTATTATCTTTACTCATACTTACTCCACCCTGATGACACCCGACAAAATCCTGTGTCCGGATATCAGAGAGAGTCATAAAACCATCAGAGGTGGAAGAATTAACAACGTTGCTACCGCAAGCGGAAAGTCGGACACGTTTGGTACCGCTGAAGTGGTTTATAATCGCCCTAGCATTTCTATCCTTATCATTATTATTTTTTTTATAAGTAGTCATGGTTTTAAAATTATTACTGTTTATAAGAGAGCAGTAGTGTTGTAATATCAGGAATGTTGCTGCTGAGGTTACTGGAAGACGGAAAAGTGTATCGGGCTAATTAGGATGTCGTAACTCTTCTTGATTAATTTGGCTATCCGTTCATTGTGATTATTTTCTCTGTTGTATGTATTTTTGCTGTCGTTATCATTAAACATGAACTGCGATATTGACAAACGTGAAGAAGATAAAAAAGTAAAACTAGAAAGAATTGTGAACGAACCACCTGCCTGATCAAGACCATCTGTTCCGTATATACCAGAGGGGTGTTTGCAAACCGTAAAAGTCGTAGTATTAGTAGTACAAGTATTACTGTTTATGTTACGATTAATATTATTACTACTATTACCGTTGGTATTATTAATAGTAGCTGTAGTAGTTCAATTACCGGTGTTAACTGTGGATGTTGGGGTCACCGTTGTTGAGCAGAAAGTTTCTGCTAGAAAGGGGGTAAAAGTAGCAATATTGTTGTTTGAAATGGTGCCACTCTCATTCCAGGTTTAATTTTGTTGTCGATATTCCGGTTCGAATTGTTCAAAAAAAAAAAAAATTACTCACTTGTTAATAAAAATCGTTTATTTTCTTTCAGACAGTCAAAACTAGACTGACCGTAAGTAGCTCTGATAAAAGTAAAACGATGTCTCTCGCAAAACAAACACGAACGTCAAATCACGTTAGAGAATAGCAAGTATTTTTTTTTAAGCAGTATTATAATTGGTTGTTGTTAGTGGTGAGTTAATGGTACACACCTCTGCTATTACGACGTTTTGTTCTTAAATGTTTGCCACAAAGAGGGAATCCGGAGAAAAGGGTTGTTGTCGGTGTTACGAATTATTTGTAAATGTCCGTCTTCATGTCTCTTACCTAGTCCATCGTTACTGCTCCAGTGAGCAGTAGTTGCGTTACAAATTCCTCGAGCAGGACTGATACAACTACTGCTGATACCAGTTGTATTATTTGTACTAGCTGTGTCAAGAATAAAAACAGTGGTTTTAATAGTACCAACGACTGTAAAAGTCACTATCAAAAGCGCTCGTTGCTGCAGTAGTTGTAGTAGTAGTAGTTACGGTCGAGTAATGTTTGTTGAATAAGCAGTTGAGATCCGTTTGGCTGTCATCGCTGAAGCCGTCGAGTGGATGACAAAAAAAAAAGAAGAAAAAAAAAAGAGGGATAAAGTGAGGGTTGTTATCTTCGGCCGTAAGGAGCGGACTGAAATGTTAGATCGAGTCTGTCGAAGCCTGTGCAATATACATGCGGGGTAGACCTGATGGCATGGTTATCTCTGTTGCGAAAGCAGTGATCTGTAAAAAGAGAAATGCGTGAGTTACGAGAAATCTTTCCAGTGTTTCAAGTATTCCGCTCTTGGGAGTGATAGCAGCTGGACTTGTGGTTGTTGTTGGTTTGATGAACAATGGATGCGGTTCGTGTAATAAAATGAGTGGGCACACCAGTGTGCAGCAAATTGCTTTTTTTTTTTTCTTTTTACAACCACGCAATTCTTTTCAGCAGCTTCGAATTCACACTGTTTTTCGGACTGGACATGTGTAGGTGACTCACACCGATCCCCTAGGAGTCACCGTCCGTGTCACCATGCCCGCGAGAGTTTGTCATCTCGTTTGCAAATCTTTACCGATATATCATGCCTTATTCAGCAACACCAAAGCATATCAGACACGTATGCCAATGCCATGAGTGTATATTTACATTTTTGTCTGTCACCAATTCTCAGACAAAACAAATTACATAACAAAGGATTACACACACACACACACACACACATACATACATATATATATATATATATATATATATATATATATATATATATATATATATATATATATATATATGAGGAACATTTTGCTTTGGAAATTTTCTTAGAAATCATTTATTCACCAGTTACTTAACATCGCCTGAAAAGGCACAAAGAACCGAAACATGAAAGCTATTGTTTAGCGATTTCAACATACTTTTGCTCTTATTATAAAAATAATAATAATATATTGCTCTACTTTGTATTGAGCACTTCGGTGGAAGTAATGGATAGCGTCTTGGATTGAGGAAACGGTGAGCCGAGTTCGAATTCCAGTCGAATCCATTACATTCACTTACGCGCTAATACATTTGGAAAAGGTATGAATCCTCTTCTCCACCCCAGCATGGGTAAATAGCAGGACAGACTATGTTCTATAGCCTTGGATGGCCACTGGTCTACGGTAGAAAGAAATGGCAACATACTGCGGGAAAAATCTGCCTTGTTAGTCATGTATCGAAAGATATATGATCGCCTAATCGTGTATTACGCATGGCACATGAATGAAATGCTATGAGCAGTGGAATTTTACACCATCTGTTCTGTTTTCATTTAAATATATATATATATATATATTATATATATATATATATATATATATATATATATATATATATATATACAAGTTTGAATTCTGGATAAAATTGTACGCTCTAAGACCCATGTAAACAATTCTCCACGTGCTCCGTTCGTTTGTCAAATTTCTTGTCAAAGCTCTATTTACTGGCATGTCACAATGATTGATAGAGAAGGATGGGTTAGTGAACACTTGGTTAACCAACTTGGTTGACACTCAGGTCAATATCAAGTAGCGACAGTCTGTTTAATTCTTGAATACAATCTTCAGGCAATTTGCGTACAAGCAACTGACTGTCGCCACTTGGAACCCCAGCAACCACTTTTAAATTTACACACGCTCTATTCCTGATATTGAGCACTTTTGCCTCCCAAAATAGCATACCTTAAAATTAGAGTTTTATCATATATATATTATATATATATATATATATATATATATATATATATATATATATAATTTTAATAATTATATTGATGGTTTCGGCTCTCGTTTTTGAAACATGAGAACTCTTATGTAGCAAAAGGTATCATATGTTTAAAAAAATAATTATAAGGAATCATATTTTTAAAAAAATAATTATATGATATATATATATATATATATATATATATATATATATATATATATATATATATATATATATATATATATTCAGGTAAGGTGAGAATGATTAGAATTCCAACGTTCGTAACATTTAATTTAAAAGAGGGCTCAATGCAAAATAGAGTAATATTATTAATTTCAGGATATTACACCGAAAACATGTCAAAAACGCTCCAAAATGTCAGTCTTGTTTCAATGTTTATTAATGCATCTCATCAGCCGATTCTAAAGCAGTAATCCGACATTAACTCTTGCTACTTTAAACTTTATATTTAGTGGATGCTTGTGTTTTAAAAGGACATCGCTCTTTTTGGCGGTGTTCGCCAATGAAGAGCGACACAAGTTCAAAATCTGTCGAAAGGCTCATTTTCTTTATTAAGATTCTTGAATGCACAGGTAGATATAAAGTCGTATATCATTCCTTTTAAAAAAAATTACCTACGTTGCTTACATTATTTACCAGAAAATATAAAATCGTTCCGAGAATGTTTCTCACATTCCTAAAATGGCTTGTTTCAAAGTTAACCCTAATCGAACCTGGAAAATTCCTAAAAAAAATTCCTAAATTTTCGCTTGAGGATGAAACAGGGCTTGATACCTTAATTCAATTTAATTGTAATAATTATATTGAGAGTTTCGGCTCTCATCTTTGAAACATGAGAACTCTTATATAGCGGAGGAATCATATTTAAAAAAAAAATAATTACAATTTAAGCTCTACTTCTGTATGGTGCATTGTTTTCAAAAAATAAAAACAAAAATACTAAAGAACTCCGGATTATTTACCTAACGTGTTCTTTCTTATTTTTCTACATACCTACACACACACACACACACACACACACGCACATACATACATACATACATACATATATATATATATATATATATATATATATACATATATATATATATATATATATATATATATATATATATATATATATATATATATATATGATTATAGACTGTGTAGACATGGGAACGAAAACTTAATATATATATATGTATATATATATGATTATAGATTGTGTAGACATAGGAATGAAAACTTAATGGTGTCTGCCTCTAGTGCGGTCATTAGACCAAGTGCCTGTCGGCATTTAGTCGGTCCTATATGTAGACCACTAGCCGAGTATAGGAGTTACGGAAATAAGGAAACTGACCATTTTTATTTCTTGTGTTTAGGGCTAGTGCTTATTGTTATTTATGGCTATGATTTCTAGATTTTTCATATATTTATATATTTATTATTTCATTCATTTATATATTCCATTAATTTATTTATTTTATTTGCGTATTGGTTGTATTTGGTTCTAAATTTTGGTATTCGGAATAAGTTTTATTAGAGTTAGGTCAGGAGATTTCGTTCTTTTATGGCATGATGCGATTGTAGATAGCGTAGTAGGAATTTGTTTTCCGCTTGCATTTGGAAATGATTTCTGTTTTTTTGTATAGGAGTTTATCTTATTCTGGAAATGTGATCATGGCTATTTTCTTCTCTAGGCAAATTTAACGATATTTTCAAGCGCTGTTCTCGACTGGAATTGTTTTACCTATTTTCCACTTTATTTTGTTGTGTTCTTGCGTTGCGGTATACATTCTGAGAGGATTGCGCTGCTAGCATATATTCTGCTTTTAATAGATTTTTTGTGTGAGTAGCTTTTTTGTTAACAGGAACCGACTCACGCGCGCGTGCGCGCACACACACGCACACATATATATCCTGAGACATGTTTCATTGAAAAATTTAGAGAAGTTTTTTCTACTTATTTTCAATTGGACCCTTTCTTATTCACAGACAAGATTTTTGGTGTCATTATTAAA